TTTCAAAAGCTTAGAAGCGTGGGATGCTATTGTTTTACAGAGATACTTGTTTGGACAACAGAAATAATTTCTGTTACTGCTGTCTTTCTTTTGTTGCCACCATATTTGCCTCCCTCCGTTCTCACAGCTTGTGTCTTCTCCGGATCATTTTTTTCCTGAAACAGTGGTTCCCATACTGAGATCCCTAAATTATTGTCCATTGGCCGTGCTGACTGGAATGTCAGTTGAAGTTCCTCATCTGATTACCCAAGTTTGGTAACTGATATAAAAAAGCTGCTCTGACAAACACTAGATGAATGATAAGCATGTATTTAAACTACTGCTTCATACTCTTAATGGCTCATGTAATGGAATCCTCCTACACAGAGAAGCATTTTTCTGCACATAAATTTAACAAGAAAGGGGGGCTGTCTTGGTTGCAGTCTTGAGATAGTAAAAAATTTGGAAGCAGCAGTATTCAGGTACATTAATTCCCACCTAAAGTCTAAAAGACTTGATAGTTTTTCTGGGTTTTTTGCCCGTGTTCTGAAGGTTGTTCTTCCTGACGTTTCGCCAATCTCTGTGGCCGGCATCTTCAGAGGACTGGAGTAGGAATTCTGTCCATGCTCTGTTGCTGTTTGATGGATAGTTGAGCATTTATAGCTGTGGGAACAGCTTTTGTCCTTTTCAGGAGATAGGATAATGATGGTGATCAGCATGTTTTTGTTGTGGGTGTATTGTTGTGATAAGGGGGAGAGAATATCTGTCACTGTGATTGATGGGTGTCTTTGGTCATTTTTGTGCAATGATCCCTGGTCCTTGTGGCTGGGTAGAGTTTGTTGACCTTTTGCAGGCTGTATTTTTCAGTGCTGGGAGCCAGGCCTTGTTAAGTTTTAGACTTTCTTCTTTCTTGTTGAAGCTCTGCTGGTGTTTATGGATTTTAATGGCTTCCCTAACACAATGATTGCTGGTGTTGTCCAGTATTTCAGTATTTTGAAATAGAATTTCATGTCCAGCTTGTTTTAGGGCGTGTTCAGCTACTGCTGATTTTTCCAGTTGTTTTAGTCTGCAGTGTCTCTCATGTTCTTTGATTCTGTTGTGTGTGCTGCATTTTGTGGTTCCAATATATACCTGTCCACAATTGCAAGGTATCCTGCGGTGATGAGGGGAGTCCCTTTTGTCCTTTGCTGACCGTAACATTTGTTGTATTTTTGTGGTGGGTCTGAATACTCTTTGTAGGTTGTGTTTTTAAAAAGATTCCCCATGACCCCTTTGATGTATGGCAGAAATACTTTATTTGTGGATGGCTGTTTTTCCTCTTCAGTTTGGTGTTGTTTTCTTGGTTTGATGGCTCTTTTGATTTCATTTTTGGAATAGCCATTTGCCTGTAGGGCCCAATTCAGATGGTTGAGTTCAGTGCCGAGAAACTGAGCTTCACAGTTCCGATTTGCATGGTCTACCATTGTTTTGATTATGCCTCTTTTTTGTCATGGGTGGTGGTTGGAGTTTTTGTGTAGGTACCGGTCTGTGTGGGTGGGTTTTCTGTAGACCTTGTGTCCCAGTAGGAAGTCAGTTTTGCATATGACCATGACATCTAAGAAAGGGAGTTGGCCCTCTATTTCTTTTTCCATGGTGAATTGTATATTTCTTTCTTTCTATTCATTCATTCATTCATTCATTCATTCATTCATTCATTCATTCATTCTCTTTGTACCCCGCCTATCTGGTCAAAACGACCACTCTAGGCAGGTGGATGCTGTTAAGATGGTTTAGAAATTCTTCCAGTTTTTCTTCACCGTGGTTCCAAATTGCGAAAGTGTCATCCACATATTGGAACCAGACTGTGGGTGTGAAGGGTGCCGAAGCCTGGTCCTGTTTTTTGAATTGTTCCATGTAGAGGTTTGCTGTAACCAGGGCTGAGGGGGCTCCCTATGGCCACTCCATCTGTCTGTTCATATAACTCGTTATCCCACTGAAAGTAGCTGGTCATTAGGCAGTGTTGGAAAAGGGCCTTGATGTCTTCTGGAAAGATCTGCTGGAGGAGTGTCAGAGTGTCCTTTATCGGTACCTTGGTGAATAGGGATACTACGTCAAAGCTAATCAATTTGTCCCCAGGCTTGAGTTTTAGGGTATTGATCTTGCTTATGAAATGTCCTGTCTTTGATGTAGGATGGGTTTGTCCAATGTGGGTCTGTAGGAGGGTGGCTAGACATTTTGCAAATTTGTATGTCGGGGAGCCAATGGCACTTACAATGGGCCTGAATGGGGTTGAGTCACAAAGTATTTCTGCCATACATCAAAGGGGTCACGGACCGCATGGGGAATCTTTTTAAAAATTACAACCTACAAGCAGTATTCAGACACTATAGCATATTTTGAGAGCGCATAGGGAGGTGGGGGAATTACTCCTCTTAATTCTGGAAGAAGCTCTTCAGTCAGCAGAAAAACACAATTTGATCTATGCCTTTAAATGCTGTTACAAAGGTTTAAGCTTACTTTGACTTGTAAGTTTAATAGGAAGGAAAATATTTGCCCAACTGAGACCATTTAAGTACAGAAAAACATGTTTGGAATTGGAGCTTCAGTCCTGTATCTTGTTTTTGTTGTTTGTTTTAGTTCTCTTGCACTGATCTTCATATTCCCTTTGAATTAAATAACATAGTTCACCACCTCTATTTATAATCACAAATGGGAGACACTGACAACTTGTTTTTTTCAGTGCTATTTAATTTATTCCCTTCTGTATAGTGGAAGATATTTTCCTATACAGTTTAGATGCTAGTGTACAACTTAGTTTCACCTTAGAAAAATGGACTACTAATGATGGTTCATGCCAGATTGGTTTTCAGCCGAACAGGTATGTGGCGCTTCCCAATCCCGCCTCTTCTGGTGAGCACCCACTCAGAGGCAGTGCCTGGAGGAGGCAGAGCAGGGAAGCTGAAGTGCTGCCTCTGAATGGGTGCCATTTGGAGGAGGCAGGGCTCTGAAGTGTCAAACACCTGTTCGGCCAAAGTACAAACTGACTAAACTCCTGGTTTGGTGGTTCATGCCCATTTCTAGCTACAGTACTAAGTATCTTCATCTCCTAAATCTAAATTTTATAGCTGGCAATTTTATAGTTTTTAACCTCCAGTTTTCACATATTTGTTTTTCTGGTTCTTTGGTCTGAAGTGTATTCAGGATTCAGTGTCTTAAGCAGGTTGGCACCCTCCAGATGTTAGAATCTGCAATTTGCAGAATCCTCACCATTGGCTGTGCTGGCTAGGCTTATGCTTCCCAGGCCCCTGGAGCCATTGTTGGGCACATGAGAGAGAGAGAGAGAGAGAGAGAGAGAGAGAATACCATCTCCTGGATCTGCTGAAGTGTATTCTATTGAATTCTTGCCTTAAGAAAAAGGAAAGAATCTTGGCCTTATGAAGCCCAGTGGTAAGTTTAGATAGCTTAATTCCTGCTTCACTCTTAAACTCATGCAAAGCAGAACTAGGAGATCTTTACTAACTCTTTGTGCCTACATACATCATGCTGGCAGGAATGGGCTTTAGAACCCCATTTGTTTTTGATTTTTTGTACCACCTCCTTTATTCCCCAAATCAAAGTTTTCCAAGCTTGGAGTATAGTGATTTTGCACTACAAATGCATTCTGTATTTAGGTTTGTATTGGCTTGAATGATAAGTGACTGAGGTAAATTGTCAGTTATATGTGGGATGTGCCAGGAATGATAGTTAGGACAATTGAGAAGTGTGAATGAACGTTTGTGATTGAAACTACAACCTGATTGGTCTGTGTGGTTCTTGGCTGGAGAGATTGTGTTGCATATAAGGGTGTGGGTAAAAGAGGCCCTTAGTGCTGTCGTAGTACTTTCAGGTAGAGTTTGAGAGTTAATCAGACTCAAGAGTAAGAATGATTGTGGTATGCTTTGCGAAGAAGCTGTGAATAATAGTGTTGTTTTATTGCTGCTTGTGTCAGAACAAGTATCTATGAATTTATATGAAAGAAACAGGTAACATTTAAGTTCTAAGGAAGGAAAATGAAGGCTTATGATTATGTTCTGGAGAAATTGACAGCTTTAAAAATCGTCCTTATATATATTTTTAAAAGCAAAGTGTGCTTTTTATACAGTATATTGTCCCCTAGCACTTAAAGCACTCTCTGGGTGGTTTACAATTTTATTATGCAAGCTACACCTTGCTTCCCCCCCCCAAAGCAAATTGGGCTGTTTGGGTTGGGTATTATTTACCTTTTCACCAAACCTATGTGTGTATTTTTCAAAGTAAATTACTTTTTTTGGTTTACAAACCTCACCTACTCTTTTCTTGATGGCAATCAAAATATGTCATGCCCATATACTGTATAGTGTTAATCAGTGCTGTGGCACTTGGTTTATATGGTGCCACTAAAGTAAACAAAGCTGTGTTTCACTAAGAGCATTGTTACTTTTAAAAACAGCAGTTAGCTGTGGCAGAGTTAAAACAGCAGTGTAAAGAGTAATACTGGCAGTTTCTGTAAGTTGGTAATAGGGATATTCCAAAAGAGGGAGTCCCTGTTCACAAGTTTAAATGGTGACCTGAAACTTAATGGAATGGTTTGGTGATGGTTGTCATTTTCGACAATGATGCACAAGTGAAGGCAGTTTATGAGCACCTCATAGAGTCTCAGATGTTCTTGCACTACAGTTCCTAGAAGTTTTAGTTAAGACAACCAGTTGCAGTGCAAGAACATTTGGAGCTTGAAATTTGGGGACCACTGCCCGAAAGCTTCCTTCTTCAGTCCTTGAGGACTGAATGACCATTTGGGATTTTCAGGTAGTGTTCTTTCTTACAGAGAATTGAGAAATGAATATTATATAGCTTCTATTCTGTCAACAGCCTTCTGATTCCCAGTGTATACTTTCTGAGTTAAGTAGCTGTAGCTGGTTTTACCATGTCCATGTTCTGAAGAACTACAAATCTGTATTGTGAAATGTTACATGAACATATAAAGAGTTTGGAGAACTGAACTGTGATTATTTTTCCTCTTTCAGTCTAAAGACAAAATGATGCGGGGATCACGCCGAGGATGTGTTAGACTGAGAGTAAGTATTTGTTTTTATGTATTTTTTGTATAAATCTGTGGCTCAACATTTGGGATTACAAACTCATTGGGATTTTTTCTGTGTTTTGTTCTCTTAGAGATGTTTTAAAGTTCGGAAACAATATCAATAACTATCTTGTCTTTAACATAAAAATATTTTACGTTATTCTGTTACAAAATGGTTAAGAACCTTTAGATGACATTTGGCATTAAAACTGGTACTGACAGTAGATACTGTCTTTGTTATGAAAGTTCTGTTTGCTTGCATTTTCTGTTAATCTACTAAGAGGGTCCACTGTGTTCTGGTGGCAATAGCATGTTAAAATCTCAGATTTGTACTCTTGTGATTTGAGTTCATGACTAAAGATGGGCACAAATCCAGATTGTCAGATTGTGCTGGATTGTTGTACTGGCACCACAAGTACCGCTGGATCCTGCTGCCCACCCCACCCTGGCCAGATTCCCCTCCACAAGTACCGCTGGATCCTGCTGCCCACTCCACCCTGGCCAGATTCCCCCACTCACCAGCCGGTGCATACTCCACCTCTCCTCCTCATCGGTCATTTCACAAGTCATGGCAGGAGCATGGACTTCCCTTCTCTGCCTCCTTCAGCAGCTACCCACTCAAAGGCAGTGCTGTAGCAGTTCCTGTCCCACCTCCTCATCTGAATAGGCAGCTGCTGGAGGAGGTGAAGAATGGAAGTCCTTCTCTTTCACTCAAAGGCAGTGCTGTAGCAGTTCCTGTTCCACCTCCTCATCTGAATGGGCAGCTGCTGGAGGAGGAGAAGAACGGAAGTCCTTCTCTTTTGTTGTTTCACCAGTCATGGCAACTGGTGAAACAACCAAAGAGAAGGAGAAGCAGAGTGTGTGTGGGCTGGTGAGCAGGGGCATCTGGCTGGGATGGGATGGGGGATGGGACTGTGTAATACCTGTGGTGCTGGTACAATGATCCAGCACGATTTAGTAATCAAGATTTGTTCTCATCTCTATTCTTGACTGTTTTTTCAGGTTTCATTTTTCATGAAAGCTATTCAAGTTGGTAGATGAGTTGAATGACTTATAAAACAAGGATAAAAAAATAATAGAGATGAATTCTCACAGAAGTCCAAAATGATGTAAAATTAAGCTTTGGGAAATAAAAAGAAAGAAAGACGATATGGTGTGAGATGCCTATACAGTATATTTCTGCATACCGCTAGCTGTGCTTGTAGGTATCTCTGTCACTATGCTCATTGATTTAAGTTGTTTCTTTGGCCTAAGCAGTCCATGGAAGGCATATGCTTCCCTCTGTTTTATTGTATTATACATCATTTAGAACAGGGGTCCCCAGCCTTTTTCACCCCACGGACCGGCTGGGGAAGGCGAGGCACCCCCTGCGCTCATGCGCATGCATGAATGATTACTCTCTCATGCTTGTGCGCATGCACAAACGGTGGCACGCCACTTGTGCAGGCGCACTGGCACTCATGTACATGCACAAGGTGGTGCAGCGCTTGTGCGCGTGGACTCATGCACATGCGTAAATGGTGGCATAGTGCTTGCACAGGCATGCTGGAGTGTGCAAGCTGGCACAAAAGGTTGTGCGGGGATGAGTGCATGCGGGGGGGTGGAGATCTGTCTTCACCGTGCGGTCCAGCTCAGGCCACTGACTGGCACCGGGCTGCGGAGCGGGGCTTGGGGACCTCTGATTTAGAAGATCAGGAAGAACAAGACAATCTTCAAAAGGGCAGGAAAAATGCTAATACAAAAACCAAGATTTATGCACTTACTAAAGTTAACACAAGCTTCTTTTTCTGTCACATTTTCCTCTTAGAATTACTTTGTCATTGTAGTGGGTACCCCAGTCAGCACTAAACCTGCCTGTCACAATGGAACCTTGGCAGGAGAGCCAATGAGGAGGACGGAAGGCGGGAGCAGGAGAGAAGGGGGGTACAAAAGGAGGAGTCTGGAGGACAGAGGGGGTTCTGTGTGATATAAGGTTTGGTGGAGTGTGAGAGTGATAGGAGGAGAGTGAGACAGTGAGAGTAGAGTGAGAGGACAAACATAGAGATTGAGATCAGAGGTTCAAAGGAGATTGATTGAGGTAGATTGAAATCAGAGATTGGGAAATATAGTGAAGTAATAGAAGGAGTTAAATACATACTTGTTTATCTCAGTGGTTTGCTTCCTGTGATTGACTCTTGACAGCAGAGGACACGTGGGCCCTATGGGGGGGCAGATAAGGCGGGGGCCGCAAACTATCATCCGGCAGGTCACAAATGGCCCCTGGGCCGCATGTTTGAGACCCCTGGTTTACTTTGTAATTATACCTCTAAATTGTTAATTCCTCAGATATCCTATAGATTCTAATATTTAAGCATTTATTTAATATTTAAATTGCTGAAGTTTAAATTTCTTTGCCCCTCTCTTGCTTGTATCCTTTCTTTTATTTTATGGTATGAGATTCCTCAAGAGGCTTGGGAAAAGCTTTCTCTTTTTTCAAAGTCTTGTTTAGTGACAATTGTTTTCTTCCAAAGCAGTTGTAAAGTTTTACATAAATAATGCAAGAAGTAACACTGGCACCCTTAGGTTTTTAGCTTTAGGTTTGTAGCTTTAAAACTTCCTACATGTATAGTGAAAAAAACATTTTAATACTAAAATGGTGCTTCCCATTGCTTCATAGGTATTTTGCAAAAATGTGATTTTCAAAATAGAATACTTCATAGTAGAGTGCTTAGTTTAAAATTTTTATCTCTAATTATGCTAAAGAGCATTACAGATCTGAGTTTTATTCTGAAACCTACCTTACCAGTGAGTTTTTCCATATTTGAATAATAATGCTCAGTAGGAGCAGGTGGTATGCACCATGGCTTTCTGACACTGCAGTGCTGTATCAGTCAAGCATTCTTCACATATACAAAAACAACTTATGCAGCTCTAAGATCAATTGTGTGTTTAGCTGGGAAAAAAAATCCAAGTAAGTGGTTGACGTTTATTCCAAAGTAATTCTGTGGCAGAGATAGCCTTAGGATGCAAATTTATGTACACTTGGGAGTCAAACTAGTGAGCAAGTGTACTTCATGAGTAAACATCTGCAGGATTGATTGTTAATGTATTTAGAAGCATGGTTTTTATTCTGAAAAACATGGTTCTTTCCTTTCTTGGGGAAAAGCTTTCTGAATATAGCCGCAAATCATTAATAACTTTTACAGCATCGGACAGATAGGATTAAGTATTTGGGGTTTGTTTTGTGAAAAAATTGAGAAAGTCTAATGATTTGTTTAGTATTTAATAAGCAGGGAATGTTATTTATTTGATGTGATATTCATAGAGTTTATAATCTAGTACAACCTGTGGTCACTGTTTTTCACTATATGTACTCTATTCATCGCTCTTGAAAATGCATCATGCTCTGTCCTTGTGCTGTGACAGAATGTGGATCATGACTAGAATGAGTTGGCAGTAAAGCACCTATTCTGGTTCACTTAACACAGCCACATTTCAGAGGCTGAGCAGTCTTTGTCCCCCTTGTCCCTCTGTATCCGCTATCCTATGCTGCCACTGTTGTAGCTTTTGGAGCAAGATGTGTCAGGAAGCCAGTGGCCATTCTTATCACGCCTCTGAAAGCCCATTTTTTATCATCATTTCTTCTGTATGTTGGATTCCAAGTTTAAGAGTATAGGTGATTATCATGCTGCTGCTGCTGTCAGGCTGCATGTTTAACTCCTGTTCTTTTAGTAACTTGCAATGCATAATGAGAGGGTGAAGTATTATAAACAAGCTACATACAGTACCATCAAGGTGGTCTCTCTCAAGATGATGTAATATATTGGAAACTTGTTTTGATGGTAAAATCCTGTTGCCGAATTTACACCATGTAAAACTGATGATGTCATCAGCAGTGGTGTTTTTTTTCAGAAGTTAAAGATCTCCCCCTCCCAACTCCTCAGCTTCCTGATGATGAAAGGGATTGTATGGAAACCATTAGAACTTCAGGAGAGAAGTTGTAAATGTTTAATTTCCAAAACGTCCCTACTGCTGATGACATCATCAGCCTTACACATCATGAATTACAGCCCACAACAGGATTACAGTCTATAAATTATAGAGTCCAGGGTTTGTTTTTGCATTATATGTTCTTGCCAAAGTATAATGAATTGTCTATTGTGTGTAGTGGGACGGTGTAACTGAGTGAGTTGCTAGCCAAAATATAACACCTTTTGAGAATGTGTGATGAATGTGATATAAACAGATATGTGTTTGTTATTATCTTTGAGGGAAATTTATTGGTGTCTGCACTAGGGAAGCCTGCAGATGTTGATTGCTCTGGATATTGGTAAATGTCTGTAAATAATTATGTGCTCCTATTACATACCTTGAGAAGATAAGTGAAAGTTATTGTGCAGAAACCAGATACATTCTATACAAAGGGTAAAAAATATTTCTAGTAGGTTAAAAACCTCTTTGTAGCAAGAACAACTTAAGAATACAGCATAGCTCTAAATTGGTGTGAATACTTTTCTGAATGTCATTATTTGAGTCATTGTATGGTTTTCAAAGAACTACTTCATGTTGCAGTGGTAGTCAAAACTTGGTTTTTAAGACAGAGCAAATATCATTTGTCTTTCGATTTTCTTTATGTGCAAAAAGTAATTGAAGTGTGTGCTTTCTTGCCATACTTTTTAGTTAAGAAAGATAGCCATTAAAAGAAAAAGTACAGTGAGCAACTTAAGGAAAATAACTACCATAGTGAATATCTTGTTGAATTATCAGATATTGACTGAGTAAGCATTATAAAAATTGTCGATGAATTTTGCATTCTAGTCGTGTAGCAGTAGACTGCATGCTGCTGATGTCACTGCTTGCCTTATCAGGTTTTTTGCTCTTTGTTTCACAGGGAGCTGTGATTGGTATAGATGATGAGGACGACAGCACCTTCACAATAACTGTTGATCAGAAAACCTTCCATTTTCAGGGTGAGCTGAAAGAAAGGGTTCATTCTTATCCAATTACAGGGAGATTGTTTGTATTTAACAATTTAATGAGCTAATTTTGAGCATTTAGAAACTGTCTGCATAAATCAATGTGCAGGGAACATTCTGGAGTCCTAAGCACTAGGCAGGGATTTATATCTGCAATGTATACATATGTGCTAGAAAGGACTGCTTTGGCAAGATCTAGAGATTAAAAATTTAAAGGATATATCAGTCAAGAGGGAGAGAATAATGGGCTTTCGTTGATGGGTTTTGCTTACAAAAAAACACCACCAGTCTTTATTGTCAAGATGTGATGTTGTATCTTTCTATTTGAACAACGGAACAAGATCGTTAGAGGTTGCAGCCTTTGTTGACAAAGAACTCGAAGGCTCAGATCTATAACCAGACATTTGATTTAAAGGTGGACTTTCACTTCAGGATTTACAAGTTCTCATTCATTTCATCTATATTCCTTTGTTCTTCTCTACCAGTCACCATTTTCCTGCTATTTCTCGTTTATTCATGTTTACTAACTCCAATGCCATCTGTCACTGCTATGTTTCGTCATTGCATGTTATGGCTCACCAGTAGAAAGGGTAAGGTACTGTATTCTTCATTATATACCCCTGAAATACCTTTGTGTCTAGTATCATTTTTATAAATTGCTTCCATTTTCATGGCTGCTGTCCTTACTTTATATCACAGTTGTGCCTACTGCTACTGTATGTTATTTTTCTTTCCTCTTTGTCTCAAATGTACTGCAAATTAAATGCTTTACTTGAGTCAATAAGCATTTAATTATAGGAACACGATTGATTCATGCTGTAATTTTTTAAATATTGCAAAAATTGTAGTATTGCAGTATTTTGTCTTCTTTACTGAAGATCCTAAAAGTATGACTATGTATTAATTAAACACCAGTTGTAGGTCCCATTTTGTGCACATATGTATTTTTTATTAGAGGCTTGTCAATGACTCGGCTGTCCTCTGCCTTTGATTGTTTCCACGGATCCTCATAAGATACAGAGAACACTGCATTACAAGTTTTGCAGTGTTAGAAAATACAATGTAAACCAATTTTCTAATTTCTGTACAACACTTTTAGACCACACATTCATCACTTACTCTAGACAGTAAAGGAATTAACTGTTAATTAACACCACAGCCATTCTTCAGAATATAGCAATAATATATATCTAGATGCAGGTAACAGGTAAAATCTGCAGGCGATTTTTGCAGCTATTACCTTCTGGAACAAGAATACATTTTCCAGCAGTTCTGTAGCTTTTGTATCATATATTTCAAAAAAAAGCCTTTCAAGAGATTGACAAAAAATAGAAGAGATTAAAATATACTAACTTTTATTACCCTCATATTACTGCCTTACATAGTATAGTGTCTCAATTTAATTTATTTTAATATGAATGTATTTTGTTTTGTCCTTTCCACTAGTTTGTGTGTGAGAGATGATACTGCGTTTTTTACATGGTAGAGAGTTGAATTTTTTTTCAGATGAAAACCCATAATTAATACACTGGTCTCTTGTAGATTGGTGGCTAGTAATGTGTAATTGGTGAGCTCAGTAGTGCATTAAGTGAAATTGTAAGTGCCCATTATTCTGGCAGAACTTCTGTTGTCATAACCTATACCATATAAGGCTAATAATGTCATAAGCAATGGCTCTTTTAAAAAAACCTAAATATTGCTAACTTCTGTCCTGAAGCTCCCAAGGCTTCAGGACAGAAGTTAGCAATGTAAGCCCTTTCATTGTTGGGAAGCTGTGAAAGCCATATGATAGGAAGGTAAATACTTAATTTCCCATCCCACAACGAAAGGCATTACATGGGATTCTTGGGAGCTTTCAGAGAGATGTTAGAAATGATTAATTTCCAAAAATTGCAGCTGCTGATGGTACCATCAGCCTTACATGACACAAGTTATGGCAACAGGATTTCAGCTTGAATGCTTAGTGTATAGTGCCACATGTCTTCCAGTACAATAGGACCCCTGTATCAGTGGGATATCCAATGACTTGCTTATCCACAGTCTGAAAATCTTAAAAATATTAAAAGAAAAATCTTAAAAATATATATTTTTAAAGATGAAGTAACCAGAATTGGCCACCCTAATGTGATGTATTAAAATAGCATTCATTGTAACCCACGGGGGGGAGGGGGTTGCATTGGGGGGATTTGGAACCAATCCCTGCAGTTACAAGGGTCCTGTTGTATTTGGCCATTTCCAATGGACAGTACAGTATATTATTGTTTGTCTTCCTAAACAGCAATGTCTGATATGCCCCTGTACAGTCATAGAACCATAATGGTTACTAAGACAAATGGAGAAAACTTTGATGGCATAGAGCTCATCTCTGCTCCCCATATTTCTATTTCTTTACCTTCTTAAAAAAGTAAAATAGAAATAGACCTGCCTGCAGGACTCTTTAGACAACATCTGATATCCACATCATCTGTGAGCAACAGAAAAGATGCTGAACATTTTGCATGTTTACATTTTGCTGAATAAATATGGAGTCTTATGTTCTAGTACCATATTCTTCCTACTCTGAATTGAGTGCTCTCTTATCCCTATTCTTTGACCTGACTCATAGGAATGAATGGTGTAACTATGCTAAATCCAGCATTATGTGTTTTTATTTGACTATGGATTACATTTTACATTCTTTTGATGCTGTGTTCGATCAGCTAGATGTCTTCTGCTTTCCTTCCTTCCTTCTTTCTTGCCTTCCTTCCTGGAAAGGGATTCAGAGTCTAACCCATTTCCATGTTCTCCACTGCACTGACTTCCTCTGTCTTTAATACAGCTGGAGCCAAACCTTGATTAACTCCCTAATTGAACAGTAATGCCAGAATGTCAGAAGGAAGCGAAAGGATACCTTTTCCTCTCTTTTGTTTTACTCTGTAGACTTGGTTGTAAACTCTGGCATGGCTTTTTAATTGTTTTCATCGAGGTCTGTTATGTCTTTCTTCAGGGGCTTGTTTGTCATATTTATTCATTCAGTTTCTTGTGTCAAAAGATTAGTTCTTAGTATGCTTAAGAAGGTAGTGGAGCATTCTTCCTTGGAGGAATTAAAATCACTTTTCTCAGAAAATTTGTTAGAACTATTTTTTATTCTTTAGTTAGATTAGTATATATAGTTATAGGATTGTAGAGCTGGAAGAGACCCCAGTGATCATCAGGTCCAACTCCTTAATCCAAAGCTAAGGGATCTCTAACCAATGGCCATTCAAGCTCCATTTTAAAAACCTCCAAGGAAGAATGCTCCACTACCTTCTAAAATAGTCCATTCCATTGTTGAACATCTCTTACTGTGTATAGGTTTTCCTTACCGTGAGTTAGTTGAAACCTGCTTTCCTGTAATTTGAATCCATTGCTTTAGAATGGCAGAAAACAAGATTAACTGCATCTTTTGTAGGACAGCTCTTGAGACATATTAAAATAGCTATCAAATCACCACTCAGCTTTCTTTTTTCCAGGCTAAGCATATCCAGCTCCCTCCATTGTTCCTCATGGAACTTTGTTTTCAGACCTTTTGGCCATCCTTTTTCTGGACAAGTTCCATCTTGTCAATATTATTTCTAAACTGCAGTGTCCAGAACTGCACACAGTATTCCAGGTGAGGTCTGACCAAAACACAGTAGAGCAGTATTATACCTTCTTTTGATCTGAACATTGTACTTATTTTGATGCAGCACAGTATTGCTTGTGGTCTTTTGGTGCTGTGCTACCTTTTTGATTCAAGTTTAGCATGTAGTCTACTAAAATCCTCAGATCCTTTTCACACATAACTGTTGCTAAGCCAATAGTCACCCATTGTATATGAGTGCATCTAATATTTCCTACAACTTTTTTTCCTGCCGAAACTCATTTTTGTTGTTTTGGGCCAGTTCTGTAATTTGTAATCCCATGATGTAGCCTGAAACCCGATTGGAATGGATCCAGACTATTGGTGTCATCCAAGAGCGCCTGAAGCTGTCCAGCCACCACCCTCTCAACCAGAATATTTGTGATAGTACAATAGTTGTTAAAAACATCCAATGGAAAATCCACCTTTAGAACAAGCCTAATCCCTGTCTCCTTTAAGCTGCAAGGTTGATATCCCTCTTGCAAGGAGGAGTTCATCTGACAGGCCTATTGAACTATCCCCTTTCTGGCACCTTTTAAAAGCCAGGAGGGGCATGGGTCCAGTTGGGAGGAGGTAGACTTTTACAGTATGCTGTCAGTTCTAGAGAAGTGTTGTCTAGAGAAATATTGCTAGTAGTAGTACCTGCTGTTCAGGTGTGAACCCGGATGAAAAAGAGCTGGCTTTTGACATTATGTTTCTTAATTTGGTGAGACATCTAATAGCTGATTAAGTAGTGGGCCAGCAGAAGTTCTTTGTGAGTAGCATGTGTAATGTGGAGTTATGCACACATAGTACTCAATAGGATTTCAGCTATTCTTTGAAACATGCTGTATATTCTGTGAAAACATTGTGTGAGCTTTACATGTGTGTCTTCTTGGTATCCATGCATATTCCAACAAGACTAGAAAGTTTTCCATGCACATGATGGAATGAAGCTGAGGTACAATAAATGTTTTCAGTCTTCAGGGTAAGAGTGCTGTAGAAATTAGTTTATATTTGTTATGATTCATACTTTCCAAACTGGTACATAGATCAGAAATTGGTTTTCCATTGGATTGGGCCTAGTTTACAAGGTTGCCTGCCCTAAGGGTTTATCTTTTAAAATTTCCTCCATCATCTTTGTTGTGAATAATAGCCATTAAAAGTGGCTAGAAAGCAGGATATTATTCGTGCCATATGCATGTTCATGTTAGGATTGCACATAGCCCTGGGAGAGGCATGGTTCATAGATATTTTAACGTACAGGTGTATACTAAGCAGCACCTGTTCCTTATGTCATAATTGCTGCCTTTCAGAGAGTGGGGAAGAGGGTAAAGCTACCCATACCAATAAGACTGGACAGTCTGGAAATATG